GGGGCCCTGCCCCTGGACCCCAGGACATCGGACTCCACCGCCCCCGCAAGAGCAGCTCAACAGAATAGAACTACTAAACTAATCACCAAGGACATAGACGAACTGCTAAAAATCATTCAGGACAGCAAGACGGTTAAAGAGAACACCACAGCCCTGAACGCATGGGCCAAAGACATAAGAAGTAAAATCTGCCCCCAGAGGAAAGCATCTCCAAGACCCAACCTTCTAAGCAATAAACTCAGAAGAACCAACATGCCTCCAACGAAGAAAAAGGAAAACGCACCCAGCACCGCCCGCAACATAAGCAACCAAACCAATCAGCAAATCCAGCATTCAGATCTCTACAAAATTATAGAGAAATTTAATAAAACGATGGAGCATCTCACGCAGCAGCTAGCTGAAGAAAGGGCGAAGAATGGAAAAACCCAGGAAAGCTCCCAACCGCCAAACAACCGAAGCCAAGGACCAGCTCCCATGGAAATCACAAAGGTCAGCGAACAATCAGACACCCCAGGTACCAGACTAAAACAAAGGAAGGAAGAAACTATCCGTACAAAGGAAGCAGCGAAGCGGCCGCTACAGTGCACCGAGGACACTAGCCCAATAGGACCCCCCACGAACAAGAATGCGTGCAGGTACGTTACCTCTCAACCGGCCAAAAAGGTCAAGACCACCGCGCCAACAAACACAGACACGCAGGTAAACAGCCCAAAACCTCCCCCCATAATAATAACGGACTCACCGAACAAACGAACAATAGAGATAGCTAATAAACTTTCAAACAACTTTTACACAAAAATAATCTCAGACAGGAAACACATACTATACATGGACTCTTTAAAAAACCACATCCTTGCATGCGAAACACTCAAAAATCAGAACATGCAATTCTACTCATACACACCTAAAAGCCAAAAACAACACACAATCCTGCTAAAAAACCTGGACGGAGACTTTGACCCGGAACAAATCTTAGAAAACCTTAAAAGTAAAATGACACCAGACCTAACATTCACTTCAGTAAAAAAATTCAACACCAGGAGATTTACCATCGAAGGTAGATCCCTACCCATATATATAGTCCAACTCGCGCCCGACAGCAAACTAGAAAACCTGAAACACATTAGAGTAGTCCTACACACTCTCATCAAATGGGAGAAAATAATCAAAAAAGATAGAGTTCAATGTAAAAGATGTCAGAGAATAGGACACATTGCCACAAACTGTAACTTAGACTACCGATGTGTAAAATGCAACACAAAACACAATCCAGGAGAATGCCCCAGAAACAGAGAAAACACAAACGACCCCAACTGTGTAAATTGCGAAAAATTCGGGCACCCAGCCTCATACCGCGGTTGCCCCAAATTAGCTGAAATCAAGAATAAATTAGAGGAAAAAAGCAAACACAGATCGCAGAAAAACACAGAAAACAAAATTTAATGAACAAATTCACCAACCCAAACACATCCTATAGTGCAGCATAGGATGGGCAATGCCCCCACCCCCCACCGCTCCCTCCCAGACAAACCCACCCCCAGCCCACTAACAATCCCACATAACACACACATCAACAGCAACACGCCACCACATTCCCTATTCCTCGAAGAAATAAAACAATTATCTATTTCAATCAACACCCAGATAGCGCGCATAGCTGAAAGCGTTAAGATAAATGCAAACAAAATAGAATTAATAGCCCAAGCTCTGAGTTTAGATTTTTAATGGCTACCTCCCACCCACCGAACAAACCCACAATAGACCAATTACAAATAATTCAAATAAACGTAAATTCAATAATCAGCAACGACAGACGCGCATCCCTCGTAGACTGCCTAGAAACCCACAACCCTGACATAATGCTCCTATCCGAGACCAAACTCAACCACCACCACAAAATAGAATTCAAAAATTATAACTTCATTAGGAACGACAGAAAAGACGCGAAGCGAGCGGGCGGCACGGGAATCCTCATAAGAAAAAATATTAAATTTAAACACATCCCCAACAATAGCAACGAACCTCCAAAAAGTCTAGAATCTTCAACCATAAAACTCAAACTACACAACGTCAACCTCTTCTTAATCGCCGGATACGCCACCAGCAATTGCAAAAAAGAATTCATCAAGGAACCCGACGACCTATTCAAATCCCTAAAACTCCATAAATCAGAAAACTTCTACCTACTCGCAGGAGACCTAAACGCCAAACACAAAAACTGGGGCAACCCAATCAACAACAGTAGAGGAACCTCCCTAAACAAATGGATACAGGACAACACCATCCAATACCGCACCTCCCTACTCAGTACAACGGTCCCATGGTATCCAACCAGCGGAGCCTTTATGGATATATGCATAGCCGACAACCGAATCAAAATCATGAACTCCCCGGGTCCACAAAAACTAGAATCATTCGACTACGACAGCGACCACAAAGTAGTAAAAATCCAAATCCAGACACCAACCCGACAAGCCCTAGAAACAGCCGAACCATCACACACACACAAATTCAACTACCAAAAAGCAGACTGGAATAAATTCAAAAAGCTACTCACAAAAACAGACATCTCATTTTTACCCAACAACAGAAACATGACAATAGAAGAGATAGACCACAGCATAAACACATTAGACTACCACATAAACAACGCCCTAGAAGCCGCCGTCCCACGCGCATATTCAAACCAGAACTCCACAGACAAATACATCACCTCAAAAATTACCAAACTCTGCAAACAAAAAAAACTACATTCTCACGCCATTAAACAGACTAACCAAAATAAAAAACTACACACCTAATAACCTCCCCACAATAACCCTTCTTAGAAACACCATAAAAACCGTTAGATCGGAAATAAAGAAAGTCTTCAACGAGTCAGTCAACAACTACTGGAATAAAGAAATTTCAAAAATCTCTCCTCGCGACGGCCACAAATTCTTCCCAAAATTCAACAGCATTTTTCGCCCAAAGGAACACAACACAGTAATAAAATAATTTTAAGAAAAAAAAATACACCGACTTCGAAATGCACTAAAAAGTATAAAATAATTTCTTTTTCATTCAATCATACAATTACGACACAGATATGAATGGAACCTATTTACTGGTTAGGTAGTATATTAAATACATTTCAAACTTTTCGGAGGCGGCGCAAAATTAAAAGATTTTCTTGAACATGTCAACCTTTGGACTGCCGAACATAGGCAAAGCTGGTATAGCTATTTTTTTTTCTATACATTATATAACTCAACAGCACGCCGCGAAGTAGGTGTTTAGTGCGTATAGAATGTAACTATGGTCTATCTAGATTCATAGAGTATGCGACGGAAAGACTCGATCGCCGCATACACTATAAAGATAGAGCCCATCTGCCGCAAATTTGGTAATTCCCGCGTCGTGGGCTCCGTTTATAG